GCCTGGGAGGAGCTCCCGGGGAATTCTCTGTCCATTTTCTGTCCTCTGACTCACAAGCACAGCCTGGCTTGTGTGTGGGCTCTGTGACAAGCAGAAGCAGCTGGTGAAGTGTTCCTGGTGCTCCTTGGGATCATCTGAGAGTTACAGGGCTCTGCTGGGCTGGTCCCTCTGCAGGGCTCCATGGCACCACCACGGAGGTGGCACGTGGTGGCACATGCTCTGGGAGCTGCCTGTGCCAGGGTCACCCTGCAGCTGGGAGTGAGGGCCCAGAGCCCTGTCCTGGCTGCCACTGCCCACTCGTGTGTGTCTCTTACTCAGTGTAATATCCAGGTGAGGTTTGTAGTTTTTCAAAGATCACTGCTAGTGAGATTGACAAAGGAAAAGCACTGAGGTAGGAGGTATTTATAGCATTTCCATAAACTGCCTCTCTGAACAAATGCAGTCACTTGACTTTGTTTTCTGGGAGTTGTTTTGTTCACTGTAAAACTTCTTTTCAATCTCCTCTAGCTCTCTAAAGACATTCATTCTGTCAGAGCAGGAGATGGCACTTCACAGGCATTTCCCATAGAAATACATGGGAACCATGTGATTTTTCACATGGGCAGATAGTGATAGAACAAGCAGGAATTGTTTTAAAGAGGTGAGATTTAGATTAGATATTAGGGAAAAGTGATCCTTGTGAGGGTGGTGAGGCCCTGGCACAGGGTGCCCAGAGCAGCTGTGGCTGCTCCATCCCTGGCAGCGCCCAAGGCCAGGCTGGACAAGGCTTGGAGCACCCTGGGATAGTGGAAGGTGTCCCTGCCATGGCAGGGGTAGGGAAAAGATGAGCTTTAAGGCCCCTGAACCCAGGCTTCTATGATTTCTGACTTCGATGATTTTCCTCTTGACTAACAAAATGTGGTTAGGATTCTCAGCAGTGTCTCTAACTGGTGCAGGTATCTTGACCCTCAGTGTGCAGAAGAACAATCAGGTCTGAAGTGATTCTTGTGACCCATAAAATCAATGTGTCCATATTGTCTTGGGTATGAATTGTCACTGGGGCTCATTTTCACTTGGACTCTCTACAAAGAAAACATCCTACAGTTCATTACAGCTCCAACCTTGAAGTGTTCCTGAAGCTGATGAAAATCAGAGGTCAGGTCACTTGGAATGCAGCTGTTCCAGTTCCCTTTGCTGTTGGAAAGTGCCTCCCAAAGCAGCTCCTTCCAGCCAGGACACCCTGAGGCAAAGGCCAGCCCAAAGCCCTGCAGCTGGGATCTCCAAGGCAATAATGCCACTGATGCCGTTTGCTGCAAGATTATTCTATGGCTGTTTTATTTAAAAGGCAAATGAGCTTGCCTTGTAGGAGAGATTATTTCAGTGTTCTGCTTTCTGTGTGAGGAAATGAGGTCGTTCCTGCAGCCATTCCCGAGGGGAGAGGGGGATGCATGGAGCAGGACAGGGACAGCAGCCAGCCCTGATGGTTGAGGGCAGGGGAGCTCACCTCCTCAGCTGACTCTGGCTGGGGCCTTTGAGGTGATCTAACAAAAATAAGGATGGTTTGAGAAGGTCTTTGAAGTTCCTGGAAGGATTGGAAATGTCAGCAGGCTGGCACTTGAGGCCAGACACACTTGAGGGCAATGGTGGTGCTTAAATCTGAGCCCAAATCCCTTGGCTGTGATCCTGGTGGTGCTGCCAGGTACTGAGCAGGTACAGCCTGGTGAGGGGGGCTGGGGCTGGAGTTCACATCCTCTTGTGACTCTGCTTTTAGTCCTGCAAGAAGCAAACAGCTCTGGAAGGAGAGGGAGAGGAGCCCAGCATGCCCAGCTGGGGTTTGAGGCTGCAGAGGACTCTCCATGTAAGGCTCTGCAAGCAGCTCCCCTGCCCAGGGCTGCATCTGTGGGCATTGCCCAGGCCCCTGAGGGCAGGTGCAGGGTGCTCATTTGGAAGCATGCTGCTTTCTAAAAATAATTACGGGAGAAAGATTCTAAACAAACATCCTCCTCCCCAAAATCAATCATCCACAGCATGCTGTGAATTCCAACTGCTTGCTGAAATAAGCCTCAGAAGATCCTGTGAGCAGGAAGAGCCTAGTGCTGCAAAACTGGAAGCTTAGCATGACTTCCATGTTCTCCTGTTGTTCCACACCTTTTTGGAGCAGGGCTGATGTTCCCAAGCAAACTGAGCTGATGGTCCTGCTCCAGTGCCCACAGGAATTGTAGTTCTACATTGCAGCACAAGCTGTGACCTCAGTAAATCCAGAGCAGATCATGGCTGCTGAGCTGGAGCCCTTTGGAGGGGCAAGTCAGCAACTGGAAAGCTCCTGACTGCTGGGATTGGCCTCAGAGCCAGGAGGGAATGCTGCCTGCTTCTCCTGTGGAAGCACTGCCATGTTCTTGTCTTTCTCAAGGTTTGTGTTCTCCCCCAAGTGCAGGAAGCACTGACCCTTGGTTCAGTGTTGTGCTGAGGGCCAAGGACAGGCTCTTCTGGAGGGGCTTGCTCTGACTTTGGGTTTTGAAGTCCATTCTAAGGTGTGGTTTCTGAGATTGCTGGGCACTCAGAAGTCCTGTTTTACGTTTGCAGAGGGCTTCAGTGGGGTTAATTTGCAATTGCACTAACTAAAGCATTCCCAGTTGTTCAAAGCTCCTGATCCTTTTGTGTTTGTCATTTGCAATATTTCTTAGAGCCTTAGCCTTACTTTAGTAGCTCAGGCAGTGAACCCTTTGAGCACAGATACATGAACAGGGCTGTTTTGTTGCTCCTGGGCCTTTTCCTTCCAGCAAAGCCTGTGCTGCCCTTCAGCCAAGCCAGGTGGCACAAAGGGATCCCAGGAACATGCCAAGGTTCCTGTGGTTTCCCCCTTCAGCAGAGCAGCACAAACAGTGTCTGTGCTGTCTCTTGGTAGGTGGACAATGACTTTGGGTCTGGCTTCCTGGCCTTGGACCCCACTGATGTGCCCCAGAAGCTCTGTGCTGCTGTGCCCTGCCCTTGTTCTGCCTGGCCAGGCTGTTCTGTGGCAAACAGCCACCAGTGTCTTGTCCCCAGCCCTGGCAGTGCCCACTGGGGAGCTGGGCTGGGCTCATGGTGGCCGTGCCAGCCGAGCCACCAAGGGCTGGCCAAGCAGGATGGTGGCACAGGGGCTGTGGGTAGCAGGGCACCCTGGGCACTGTCCCTGGAGAAGAACAGGGGCCACGTGGAGGGATTGAAGTGAAGGGACATGTGGCTTTCAGCTCTGCCAGGTGGGGTGGCTCTGCCTTGCCCTGGCCAGTGGCTACTGGAGCCCTGGTGCAGTAACAGAGAAACCTTTTGAGTTGTTTTGGGGGGTAGGCACAGCTGATCCGGGAGTGCCTCTGCTATGGCTCTGCTCAGGCTGCTCCTACACTGCTCCATTGAGATGGGCACTGTGAGTCAGGCCCTGAGACTGGGCCAGGGAGCTGCTGCTGGAGGTGATGCTCCACATCAGGCACGGGGACTGTGCTCTCCCCTCACTGTGTGAGGCAGAGGGTGATGGGTCCTGCCATCAGGACACTGCTCACTGTGCTGACTTGGTGGAGTGGCTGGAGGGAACTGGGATGCATTGGGTGCTCTCTGAGCTCCTGTGCAGATGCAGGCTGGAGGCAGCTGGGTTGTCAGCCCTGCACAGACCTCTCACTTCTCCTCTGCCAGCAGCACCGTTATGGTGCTGCTCAGCATCTCTGGGAGCAGAAACCCTACTGGAAACACAGATCTCCTCCTCTGTAATTCCTCCCTTTTAGGTCCTCCTTTGAAGTGGAGCTTTAGCTCTTAATATGGTAAATAGTGGGATGTGTGAGTCCACAGAGTGTCAGTGAGGCTCCTGGGGCACAGGGAACGTGGCTCCCAGGGATGCTCAGAACTGCCATGGCTCTGCTGGAAATGGTGTGGAGTGGGGAGTGACTGCAGAGCTCTGGGACTAAGGAGGCTGCTGGCAAGGGCTGGGGTGTGTTATGGATGCAGGGGAAAAGCAGTTTGGGATTGCACAGGACTTAATGGCAGGAGGGATAAGAGTCTAGTCGTAGGATAAGAAAGGGAGTTTGGTGACTTGGGGAGGACTGAGTGCAGGGGTAGGAGGGGAAAGGGGGTCAGGTGTGTGTTGGGCCATGCCCTGCCCTGCCCACTGCAGCCTGTCCTGCATGCACAGCACCTGCAGTGGGACTGTGGCCTCTGGGGCCTGTATATCCTGGGCACACTGAGAGCCTAAACATGGCTGCTGCAGCATCCACATGGATTGCATTTTACATGTATTTCCACTGGTGGGCTTCCATCCTGGCTAGCCAGAGACAGGAGCAGGCTGGGACTGTGGCTGTCCAGGTTTGTGCAGCCAGCCATGTATCTATCCCTACAGGTGTGTTCTGTATCTGCTGGGCACACGTCCCCAGCCCTGCTGCCACTTGGATCTGGGGCCATGGAGTAGCAGCCTCACCACTCTTGGGCTGTTGCATCCAGATAATGCCTTTTCTTCTGGCATGGAGCATTTGGGCTTGTCAGGGGCTTCAAATGTGTGTTCCTGCCATCAACATCTAACAAATTTTATGGCTTCTTTCATTTTTATAGGAAAAACCATCACCCTGATCCAGACATTGAAACTCGTCAACTGATGGGACAAAGAGCTGAGACACTTGGCTGTACTAGGACACTAAAACATAGGGTTTAGCCAAAGAATATTTCCCCACTGTGGAGGCTTACACCTGCCAAGCCCTGTAGCATTCTTGGGAGGCTTTTCTATCCCTCTTCTCCATTTCCAGATTTCCACACATCATGGTATTCCTTTTGACTTCTTTTGCAAGCTAGCTCTGGCTCTGCCTTGGCTTCCCCTATGCTTTGGTGTGGGTCCCCAGCGTGAGCTGCTGCCTGTGGGCTGGTTCTGCACCTCTGCCTCCAGCTGCTGCTCGGAGGCTCCTCTTGGATGTCGTGACTGACCTGCTTTTTCTCTCTCTTCCACTGTATCTCTTTCCCTCCAACCTGTCTCCTGCGTTCTCCGTTGTCCCCCTCCGTCCCTGCAGGTTCATCATGCCTAGTGGCATATAAAAAGACTCCACCTCCCGTCCCACCTCGGACCACGTCCAAGCCCTTCATCTCTGTCACTGTGCAGAGCAGCACTGAGTCAGCCCAGGACACCTACCTGGACAGCCAGGACCACAAGAGTGAGGTCACCAGCCAGTCGGGGCTCAGCAATTCCTCAGACAGCTTGGACAGCACCAGGACACCCAGCGTCACCAGGGGCAGCGTCGTGACTGCAGCCAGAGACACTCCAGAGTTACCTCAGAAAAATGCAACTTTGAAAAGTGACAAAGGGACTCTGACTAACGAAGAGCCTAAAGTGGAGAATATCCCCAAAAGAAAGCTATCATCTATAGGAATACAAGTATGGAATAGTTTGTTCTCCTTTGTCCCAAGGAATGTCCTTGCCCCATCCATTTAGCATGTGCCTTTGCTGTGAGCGGCTGTGCATCTGAGCTCACTTAGAATAGCAAGGGACACTCCCTGCCTTGCCTGTGTTCCCAGGGCGAGAGACAGCAGCACTTTCCCTTAACAGCCCAGAAAGGAGCAAGCTCTTTTAGTACAAATTTGAAAGTTTTCTAGAGTAGAGGGGCTGTGTTAACTGGATGAGTCCCTCTGAAGAGGCCTTCTGCTGCTGGTCTGCCTGTGCCCTGTACTCTGTGTTGCTTCCAATCAGTCTGCTTCTTGTCCATCATGGTTGTAGGGACAGTTCTCCCCTGAGAGGTGGGCCCTTCTGCTTGATGTCCATGTGGGAAGGGCTGCTGCAGTGCCAAATGGCCCAGGGCTGCAGGCATGAGTGTGCAATTCCTTGCTACCCCATGTTCCCAGCAGGTTGATGTTTCCCTTGCTGGAAGCATTTAACTGTGGGAATAGATGGAAGAGAGCTGTGGATAAAGCAGTGAAATGAGAGCCCAGTGAGTAGAGTAAATTATTGCTTTAGTCAGCAGAATGCATCCTCTGAGCCTGTGCCTTCCTCTGGGACAGGTTTCTCAGTCACAGGTGGCTGTGAGCTCTGGTTCTGTCCCAGGTGCTGGTTACCAGCAGAGGGGAACTTGGGCAGCTCCAAGTGCAGGGTCTGAGCTTTGAGCTGTTCTGTGTGTGCTGAACGAGTTCTCCATCAGCTTTGCAGCAAGGCCAGCTCAGTACAGGTGACAGGGAAGGGCTCTCAGCAAGGCTGGTGGGACAGAGCACCTGAAGGGCAGTGAGGGGAGGGAAACCCACTGGAGAGGCTGACTGCCTTCCATTGCTTTTCCTTTTCTGAGCTGGTTCTTAAGTCACCTGGATTTCTTTCCTAAAACCTTCTAACCCTCTTATCCAGAGCCATGGAGGGTGTCAATCCCTGGGAGAGAGGCTTTGCTGTCAGTCTCAATCACCTTGCTGTGCTCCCTTGGATGCCATGGTCCCTGACTGTGTGGAGTGGCACAGGGACAGTGCCCCAGCCATGCAGAGCCCAGGGCTCCTGGCACAGCAGCCTGGCAGGACACAGCCCTGTGTCTGCTCCCGAGGTGGGAGCAGAGCTGGGCAGAAGCCTCGTGCCCGTCCTTAGCCAGCCCTCCCGTGTGGTGTCAGCCTGCTCTGTGTGTGCACACTCCTGCTCTACTAACGTGGATTGCAGCCACAAGTTCTTCTGTCTGTTTTTGTCTGTGTTTTTTTTGTTCAATAAGGTTGACTGCCTTCAGCCAGTGGCAAAAGAGGAGCCTCCTCCACCAGCCACCAAATTCCAGTCCATCGGGGTACAGGTAGAGGACGAGTGGCGGTAAGTGAGACACAACTTGTGCAGTTTCCTTTTCTTTTAAATTGTGCCTCCCCCACTTGTGCTTAGACCTTCTGCCCTGCTTTGTGCCAGTGAGTGATGTTGAATGGGGCCCACAGAGAGCTCTTCCTCCACAGTGCACACCCACTGCAAAAAGCATTTGTTCTCTAACAGCCAAATCAATGGGAGCTTGAAATTAAATCAAAAATTAAAAAATTCCAAGCTGTAATTATAGTCATGCGTCAGCCTCTCGTCTGAAGGGCTGGCTGCAGTAAGCAGGCAACCTTGTAATTGTGTGTGTGTGTGGTGTGTCTGTGTGTGAGGAGGGGCAGGGGGCTCTGCTGTGCCCATGGATTTTGGTGTCAGTGTGGAAGGCCAGCCAGGCTGAGCCCTGCTATTGAGCGATGGCTTTTGATCCCTGCAGGAACAGCCACTCTCGCAGCATGTCCTCCAAACAGGACACAGACTCTGACACGCAGGAGCCCAATAACTCCAGCTGTAAATCATCTGAGAGAAGCCTCGCTGAGTGCCCCCAGCACAACAACTCCGTTGGTGTTGATGCCTCCACCAGGCAACCAGCCAAGCCCTCACAGATTAAGAGAAACCTCTCCTATGGAGAAAACAACGACCCGGCCCTGGAGCCTTCCTCTCTCCCTCCTCCTGACCCCTGGCTCGAGAGCTCCTCCACGTCGCCGTCGGAGCCGGCGCAGGCGGGGCCCTGCCGGCGGGACGGCTTCTGGTTCCTGAAGCTGCTGCAGGCAGAGACCGAGCGCCTGGAGGGCTGGTGCCGCCAGATGGACCAGGAGACCAAAGAGAACAATCTCTCTGAGGAAGGTGGGTGGGGGCACCCTCCAGCAGCTCCTCCCTCGAGAAGGAGTTGGAGCTGAGTATTGGGTTGGTTAAATTGTGGCTGCCCCATCCCTGGAGTGTCCGAGGCCAGGTTGGACAGGGCTTGGAGCAGCCTGGTCTAGTGAAAGGTGTCCCTGCCCATGGAATGAGATGAGCCTCAAGGTCCCTTCCCTCCCAAACCATTCTGTGAAATTGCTGACAGCCCCAGAGCCAGAGCATGGAGATGAGGATGAGATGAGGAATGCTTTTTCCTTGGATAGGGTAATGTAGCTTCCTGTAGCAAATGGAGTACAACGTAATGCTGTGATGCAGCATGAAAAGTGTACAGGGCATGGTGTGGCTTCTGACCACTCAAAACTGCTAAAAGCTTAAATGGATTTAATCTTAAAAAAGGTCAAATGGAAAAAGCTTTCAAGGAGGCTGTGGCCTCTTCCTGCCCTCACCCATTACTGTCAAACAGACAGGGGAGACCTTAGCTGGCAGCGGGGCAGAAGGAACACAACTTTGGAGCCTGTTTGCTCAGTTCACTTGATGAACTGGTCTTTAAAGCAAAGAAGAGGTTTCCTCACATGGGAAAGCCTCACTGAATTTGTGCTGGGTACACCAAAAGCATGGAACAGGGAGCAAGAGGCCAGTTGATTTTATGGGGTTCAGTCCCAGCTAGGCTTGTTCCTCTATTTTCAAACGCCTTGGCAAAACCCCTGGGCTTTTTGCAGTGGGAATCATGCCTCTGGTGCATGCAGAGTGACAGGAGTGGGTGTCAAGGCTGCAAAAGGCAGGATCTTTGTGTGGAGCCTGGTTTTGATGTTTTTAAAACCTGAGAAAGGTGAAACAAAGGTGAGGCTCAGTTTTAGCTCACTGTCACTGCTGAGCTAATCCCTAATCTGATTCCCTGAGGTGCTGCCTGGCAGGGAATCTCCCTGCCTTGGGGCTGGTCTGGCTTGACCTGTGGCAAGGAAAGGCAGTGAGACCTGCATGGCACTGTTGTGTGTGCCAGGAGCAGCTGCATGGCACTGTTGTGTGTGCCAGGAGCAGCTGCATGGCACTGTTGTGTGTGCCAGGGGCAGCTGCATGGCACTGTTGTGTGTGCCAGGGGCAGCTGCATGGCACTGTTCTGTGTGCCAGGGGCAGGCTGCCTGGTTGTGTCACCACAGCCTTGGTGGGTTGGAGAGCCCAGGGTGTGCTCACCCAGCCAGGAGCTGCTGGGCAGGCTCAGGGGCAGCAGCAGGGCAGGGCTCAGTGGTCCCTGTTGGTGATGCAGCTTTGCAGGCACGTGGGGCTCTGAACCTGCCTCTGGGAGGGAAAAGCCCAGACTGTGTTTCCTCTGATGAGCAGAGGAACATGTCCATGCCCAGAGGCTGCTTGGAAAACCCATTAAGAGCAGCATGAAGTCCTGGGTGTTAAAAGCCCTGGCCTGTGTGTTAATCCCTGCTGGTACAGGGAGGCTGGAGAGTGGTGCCTGTGTCACCTTTGTCACCTTTCCCCTGGGCAGGGCTGGGAGAGCAGCAGCCTGGGGTCTCTAAGCAGGTTCCAGCAGACTTGGCTGAGGTGGTGCTGGTGGCTCTCTGAGGGGCTGAGGGCAGTTTGAGGAGCTCCCTGCTAGCTTGGATATTGTAATGTCCTCAGCCAGGTCTGTGTTTGGCCTGCCAGAAGGAGCAATGGCAGACAAATTTAGTCGCAAAACATCTTGTGGGAGCAGTTGGTGCCTTGAGGATCTCTGAAATTCCTTTTCTGATGACTCCAGTGTTTGCTTCAGAAATGCTAGAGCTCATTGTAACTCTGATATCTGATCAATTCAGGTCTTTTTATTTATTTCCCTTTTTTTTGTCCCTCACAGTCTTAGGAAAAGTCCTGAGTGCAGTGGGCAGTGCACAGTTACTAATGTCACAGAAGTTCCAGCAATTCCACGGCCTCTGTGAGCAAAACTTGGTGAGTCTGGATCTCTTTTTCCTGGTTTCTGAGAGGATGCCTCTCTCTGAACAGCACTACAAGGACTTGGTCAGTGTTAACAGGCTGCAGTCCTTGTGGAAACAAAGCCACAGCCTGCAGTGCCAGCTGGGGAAGGCTGGGCTAGCACAGAGGTGTCACAGACATCTTTTGTGAAAAATCCTTTCTTAAGATTTTTCCTTGTGAGAAGCTGCAGTTTCAGCAACCAAATGTAAACAATGATTTTCTGCTGCTGTGGAATGCAACAGGTGGATCTGTGATTGGTCTCATGTGGATGTTTGGATTTACTGACTACTCATAGCAGAGCTGGCTCTCGCTCTCTGTCTGAGACACAGATCTTTGTTATTCATTCTTTTTTATTCTTAGCTTAGCTAGCCTTCTGAGAACTTTTTCTTTCTATTCTTTTTAGTGTAGTCATAATGTAATATTTATATCACAAAATAATAAATCAAGCCTTCTGATCATGAATCAACATTTTTGTCTCTCTCTCATCCTGAAAACCCTTGTGACCACGGTCACACAGAGGTGCCTCCTGCTTCTGAAGGGCTTTTTGAGGCAAACCCCTGAGGCTGGGCTGGATAGGGGGGGCTGTTTGAAAGGTCTGCTCTTGACCACACATGCTCCCTTTGCATGTGTGGCTGGTGCCACTGTCCCCAGGCCACTGGAATTGATCTCTGAAAGGGAATGCAGGGCTTTGCCCTTGCTCAGAGCTGACCTGGCTAATGGGCATTGATGGAATCTGTGGTTTAGTTTTCCCGTCAAGCTTTTTGGTAATATGGATTTTGCAAACTTCCTCAGGGGTGAATTCCTCTGTAGATGTAAAATAATCTTGGAGAGACTTGAAGAGCAGGAGTGGGTAAAGTGCTGATCCCAGCTGAGCAGCAGCACCAGCAGAGCTTTGTGTGAGCTGCTTGGATCTGATCCCATGTTTTCCAGGGTCTGTGGTGGTGGTTCAGCTGTCTGGGAACTGGCAAAATCCTATTCTTGGAAGAAACTTAAGCTCCTTAATATTTTGCAACCCAGCCTGAGAAGTACTGATGCTTTCAGGTTGTTTTGGGCAGAAATGTAGCAAAATAATTTTGCTCATGAAAGCTCAGTTTGGCTCCTTGGAGTGCTGCACATCCAGGCATCCGAGCTGGGTTTCCATTTCCATTATTTCCCCCCTGAAATGGGAGTCTCTGTGTAAGAACCGAGTGTGGTCACTCTGATTGCCACGCTGGGCACCCACTGTTGGATGTTCCTGCTGAGGAGTTAGTGCCAACTCTGGGTGTCAGGTTCAGGATTACTCTGCTGTAAGGAGGAGTGCTTACAAGGAGTCAGCACTTGCTTCCTGAGCTTGGCAGAAATTATTTGCGCTGTAAATTATGGCTTTGTGTGTCCATGCTCAGGGCTGGTGTCTCCTGTGGTTCCTCACTGAGTTTGGTTGCAGGCAGACATAAAAGGGGTGAAGGTGCTATTCATGCTGCTCTGCTGGGTGTGTTCTTTCTGAAGTGGGGTTTTTAATGCTTCTCCCCTTGTAGAACCCTAATGCCAATCCCAGACCCACAGCCCAGGACTTGGCTGGATTTTGGGATCTCCTCCAGCTGTCCATTGAAGACATCAGCATGAAGTTTGATGAGCTGTACCACCTCAAAGCTAATAGCTGGCAATTGGCAGAGACACCGGAGAGAAAGGTGAGTGAGAGGCACTGGGGAGTGGCCACAGCACCTTGTTCTACACATTTGGGGTACCTGAGGTCTGCTTTTGTCTGCAAACAGATGCTCCCAAGGGCTTTTGCCATCCTGCACTTTTCATCTCACAGCCTCATAAGGCACCAAGGCCATTCCACTTGAGTAATAGTGGGAACAGTTTTGTGCAAGGGGAAAAGGTGTTGGATGGAGAGAGCCCAGAGTGGTGGGCAGTGGTGCAGGGGCCTCAACTATTCCTAGCACTGTGTAGATAGATTTAACTATCCCTTGTGCCCAAGTAATGTGAAAAGCAAATTGAACCTTTGAAAAATGCAGCAGAGGTGGGTCCTGGCTCTGCCAGTAAGGGTAGGGAGAGGTGTGACTCAGGGCATGGTGGCTTATTAAAATTTTGCAGTTCCACATGAAGTTGTGTCTTTGTGCTGCCTGTGCTGTGCTCTGAGCTGCAGCTGAACCAGACAATCTCTGAAGTCCAGGCCACTCCAGAGGAACCCTGTACCATGCAAGCTGCATGGAGGGGAGGGTTAGGCTGGATAAACGGAAAAGATTCTCCCCCAGAGGGTGCTGGCACTGCCCAGGCTCCCTGGGGAATGGGCACAGCCCCAAGGTTGCCCGGACTCCAGGAG